AATATAATATGTATTCTTGTCATAAAGGTTAATTGAAATCAGGTATATATTATAGCGATAAACAGATAATCACTATACTTAATTTTCCAAGATGTTTATTGCGACTTTCTTATATATTTATAATCAATAATTTAATATTCTCAACACAATTGTGATACTAGTTACTAAAACAAAAGTCTTAGAGTGCAATATTAATAAGGACTAAGTGTACCATACAAAATATGTCAATCCTACGTATCATACAAATAACTCTCATATGTAATTTACCATGTGTACTACTCAGTGGCTGTATGTTTTCTCTAACCCAATAAAAAAAAACTACTACTTCCTAGATCGTATAGCTACATATATATACGGTCTAGGGAAAAAGTTCCGATATTGAATCCACCTAACCCAACGCTGGCTGTGCAGTGCAATCCAAGAATGGCCAAAAAGTACGGAAGCTCCTATCCGCCATCTATAGGCAAGCTGCTTGCTTTCCTCAAAATAGGCAATGCAACTACTTGCGTTGCCCAAAAAGCATAATCAAAACAAAGCGTCATAACCTGTTTTCAGATCTTTCAGCAAATATTTTTACAGTATTTATTAATTTTGAGAGTATATACATAAATTTTAGTAAACGGGTAACTATTATGATCATCCATTTATCATTAAAAAGTAAACTGTGGTTCTAATTACGTAGTTGAATAAATTTACAGTGTTTGATGGAGAAAGCCAGCGAAGACAAAACAGAAATTGTTTACAAAACTGAAAAAAAATTTTTAAGGTACGTTCCAGACAGACGTAGGGAAAAAAGTATTGTAAAACATTTAGATGTCAGAATTATATCTATACATATCAAATCTATATACTACGTAATTAGAATCACGGTTATTTTTTTAATGATAAATAGACGATTGTAATAGTTACCTGTTTTCTAAAATTAATGTATATACACTCAAAATTAAAAAATTTTGTAAAAATATTTGCAGCTTCTATTCGCCATCTATAGGCAAGTTACTTGCTTTCCTCAAAATAGGCAATGCAACTACTTGCGTAGTAAGAACCACAGTTTATTTTTTCAATGATAAATGGACGATCATAATAGTTACCTATTTACTAAAATTTATGTATATACTCTCAAAATTAAAAAATATTGGAAAATATTTGCTGAAAGATCCGAAAACAGGTTATGACGCATTGTTTTCATTTTGCTTTTTGGGCAACGCAAGTGTTTGCATTGCCTATTTGAAGGAAAGCAAGCAGCTTGCCTATAGATGACGGATAGGAGCTTCCGTAAAAAAGAGATCCTGCAAGCCTGGTCATCCAAATTGTATACAATATTCTGTTTTAAAGAAAGAGGTTGATTAGAAAAGAAATTCAAGGTACGATTCTTTAACAAATCACTAACCCAAGAATAAAGTTTTCTTGTATGAGTAAAAAATTGTTTGTGGTGTCAAAAAGAATAGCAGGTTAGCTAACTGTTATTCTTTCATCGCGATGATTTTTATATTTTACCACGGGGTGATGCTGATATTAAGTTGCACCCAGCCTATTTTTTCTGCCGATAGCGCAGTTAAGGGGGCTCCTTCGCGAAAGTCCCCAAACAGAGATATATTATTTCTTGTAAATAAAAGTCTACTGAATTTAATGGTGGTCTAAATTATATTTCGAATGGGTCAAAATTTTGAGAAATTCGAGCTCAAAGTTGTAACTATTAGCACGTGTTCCTATGGGGCAGCGTAAAAAACAATTTCTTTTCGTTTATAATAAACCTAAATTAGAAGTCCCAGCAGACTGAATATATACGTTTTGTAGATGAAGTCTTCCTCTGTAATATGCTGTATTAAAAATTGTGGATAAAGGACCATTTTAGCGAGATATTTGTGATGGAAATAAATAATCAGTGTCCGGTCAAGAGGTCAAGAGGTCACGTGGTTAGCAGACGTACTTGTTCACGACATATATATACCATATACCTATATATAACATCGCTATACTACACCAACACAGGTGGTCTGGTCTGGTGGTGTACCCTCGTATGCACTAGACTGGTCAAAACAATAATTAATTTTTAGTACAAAGTTAAACTGCACACATAAATATCATTTTCCGCCCTTGGGTGGTTTTGGGAGGCTGGTACTTCCTCGGGCGAAAAAGCAGTTTTCCGGAACTCGTTCGAAAAGTCTCCTTTACGAACCTCGTTACGTCCCTCGCCTTCGGCTCGGGCCGCAAACCTCTCGGTTCGCAAACAGAGACTTTTCAAACTCGTAGGAAAACTACTATTTCCGCCCTCGGGTGGTTTTGGGAGGCTGGTACTTCCTCGGGCGAAAAAGCAGTTTTCCGGAACTCGTTCGAAAAGTCTCCTTTACGAACCTCGTTACGTCCCTCGCCTTCGGCTCGGGCCGCAAACCTCTCGGTTCGCAAACAAAGACTTTTCAAACTCGTAGGAAAACTACTTTTTCCGCCCTCGGGTGGTTTTGGGAGGCTGGTACTTCCTCGGGCGAAAAAGCAGTTTTCCGGAACTCGTTCGAAAAGTCTCCTTTACGAACCTCGTTACGTCCCTCGCCTTCGGCTCGGGCCGCAAACCTCTCGGTTCGCAAACAAAGACTTTTCAAACTCGTAGGAAAACTACTTTTTCCGCCCTCGGGTGGTTTTGGGAGGCTGGTACTTCCTCGGGCGAAAAAGCAGTTTTCCGGAACTCGTTCGAAAAGTCTCCTTTACGAACCTCGTTACGTCCCTCGCCTTCGGCTCGGGCCGCAAACCTCTCGGTTCGCAAACAAAGACTTTTCAAACTCGTAGGAAAACTACTTTTTCCGCCCTCGGGTGGTTTTGGGAGGCTGGTACTTCCTCGGGCGAAAAAGCAGTTTTCCGGAACTCGTTCGAAAAGTCTCCTTTACGAACCTCGTTACGTCCCTCGCCTTCGGCTCGGGCCGCAAACCTCTCGGTTCGCAAACAAAGACTTTTCAAACTCGTAGGAAAACTACTTTTTCCGCCCTCGGGTGGTTTTGGGAGGCTGGTACTTCCTCGGGCGAAAAAGCAGTTTTCCGGAACTCGTTCGAAAAGTCTCCTTTACGAACCTCGTTACGTCCCTCGCCTTCGGCTCGGGCCGCAAACCTCTCGGTTCGCAAACAGAGACTTTTCAAACTCGTAGGAAAACTACTTTTTCCGCCCTCGGGTGGTTTTGGGAGGCTGGTACTTCCTCGGGCGAAAAAGCAGTTTTCCGGAACTCGTTCGAAAAGTCTCCTTTACGAACCTCGTTACGTCCCTCGCCTTCGGCTCGGGCCGCAAACCTCTCGGTTCGCAAACAAAGACTTTTCAAACTCGTAGGAAAACTACTTTTTCCGCCCTCGGGTGGTTTTGGGAGGCTGTTACTTCCTCGGGCGAAAAAGCAGTTTTCCGGAACTCGTTCGAAAAGTCTCCTTTACGAACCTCGTTACGTCCCTCGCCTACGGCTCAGGCCGCAAACCTCTCGGTTCGCAAATATAGACTTTTCAAACTCGTAGGAAAACTACTATTTCGCCCGAGGAAGTACCAGCCTCCCAAAACCACCCGAGGGCGGAAAAAATTTTTTTTAATATAAAATAGTATTAAGACCAGTTGTAACTTTTATTAATGAATCATTAGATATGTATACAAGTGTAAGTTAGAAATCTGCAAATGATATGTAAGTTAATTGTTTCTAAATTTTAGTAATACTTGAACTGTAGGCACAAAATTTTTTTCTTGAGTTATAACAAAGTTTTTGAAAGTTTTTTCCTAATCAGCACAGGTATTTTTTTACGTATCATAGACTATTACAATTGAATATCAACTAGGCATAATAATTTTGGTATACACACTTCGATTTCTCATACATTTTTTTATTATTAAGATGTACTAAAGTACAAGGCTTTTATTATTTACAAAGATTATTTATTTAATTCATACATATTAAGAGAGCATATAGCTATTAATGCATATTATAAATATATATGTAGCACGTATTATAGGCTGTATATGTGTACATAGTGTATTGTAGTACAGCGTCTCGCAGGAAGGCAGAAAACTCGAGAATGGTAGTTTTCCTACGAGTTTGAAAAGTCTCTGTTTGCGAACCGAGAGGTTTGCGGCCCTAGCCGAAGGCGAGGGACGTAACGAGGTCCGTAAAGGAGACTTTTCGAACGAGTTCCGGAAAACTGCTTTTTCGCCCGAGGAAGTACCAGCCTCCCAAAACCACCCGAGTGCGGAAAAACTTATAATACATATTTATACACTTCTAAAGAAAAATGTGGCTAAAAAACTACTATTTTTCATATGAAGCACGACTGCTGCGTTTACTACTAGAATAATAACTGCAATGATTATATTCGTTTGATGCATGGGATATTGAAACGTTTAAAGTGCCCGTGGAGAGATGACGTAGCTAGGACCCCGATGATATGTGGACTGTACGGTGTCGCAGACAAAATCAGTACACATGCATAATAGATTTGACACATTGACATTGGTGATGAACAAATAATTTCGTTGATGTAAGTACGCGAGTTGAAAACCGAAGATTACTCAACATCTGATATATATTTACGCTATTATTAACAGCTGTCCTATCTCTCAAAAGCGCACTCTATACATTTTGCTTTTAATTAATATTTCAACCAACAAAATATTCATAGTTTTTCAGCTGCTATTAGACTTTAAGTTAATTCATAAAAATATTATGCTCAAAGACAAGATTGTAATTATCTTTAAACTGTGCGCACAGCCATTGTAAACAATTGAAAATCTGGGGGGTCTTATATGTTTCACGATTTTAACACCATATAAAAGCTCTGAATGTCACGTATCCAGTGGATACCCAAATTTGTTAAGAATTTTAAAGTAAACTTTCAACACATTGAAGTATACTTTTCGAAATATTTAGTTATTTACTTTTAAAAAAATTGTTTACCACATTGTAGCTTGCAATTAGGTGAGTAAATTTAAAATTTGATAACAATACGTAACAGTTGTTGATTCGATATACAGTATCAAAAGCTAAAGGACTTAAGGCTTCAACGTTATTTTAAAATTAAATAGTTATATTTTAGGTTGTTAAAGTTTATTGCTCTAGTATAAAATATAAGACAGTAGTATGAAGCAGTCGTGCCTAAAAAGTATCTAGTGAAATATCATGTCCTTGATATTGCACCTGCCAGCAACTTCTTTTTTTTAATAAGTTTATAGCTACAGCTTATGCGATGATCTCGTTGATATAAAAATGTAAACTGCACAGTGACTGGCAAATATCACTATGAAACATCTTGACAATTTAATTTTTGTAAGTACACTTTCACCCCAAGTAGTACTTTTACTTCTAATCGTCGATTGCGTACTTACTATTCATATTCGGCTTTGAGAATTCAAGAACTGTTTTGTACAACGAAAATAGCCAACCTTTTGAAGCACGCAAATAATTTGTCTAAGAACCAAAGCCTCTATTCTTGAACATTTAAAATCTTTTTTATTAGCAAGTTGATTTAATTAATTAAAATTTATAGAAATTCTCGTATAATTCAAGGTAGTTGTCAGGGAATACATCAAATTTATAAATACATGTCGAATACATTTATTTATTTTTTTCTTGCTCTTACAGTAATTATTACAGTGTCAAAAAAACATTTTCTACTAAAAAGTTAAATTTTACTTAGAAATATCTCGAGAACTTACTAAGAGGGTTTTTAACAAATTTTAACCATGTATCGATATACATAGCACCCATATAAAGCATCTTTGGAAAATGTGTCTGACCAAGTAAAAATCATCTTAGTGAATATGGCTAACAATATGAGTACTAATAAACGACAGTAACTCGAGCACAAATTTTCTCATTTATTCAATAATTTATAAAAAAAGGTATCAAAAACAAACTTATAATAACAAAACCCAGTCAAAAAAAAAATAATAAAGCCTAAATTTGATACTATCTTTTCAATAATTGTTATCTTTTTTGTAACGTAATTAAAGCAAATAGTTATTTTACTGCGTATTTGAATAACGACAATAAATTATTTTTAAAAACAATTAGTTATACTTTATAGCACTTTTAATCAGTGATACGAAAATTTTACATTAATTAATAAAAAATGATAGGTAATGTAAGCTATTAGTTTAAATTAATTATAATTCATAACAGTATTTTTTTTTCGGAAATTAAAGCAATAAAAAAAACTCAAATATTTTCTCAGTCCCACATCATAACTTTATTATTCCTTATTATCGGTTTTCATTTATTATTAGTTATTTACTATGATGACTTCTGCTTAGGAAAAATTGATAAAGTCCAGATTTAAAATTGAGAATTAAACTTTTTATTACTCTTATCATTTTCAAATAATAACAGTGCTTGAGGCATCTACACCAGGCGGGGCTGTTAATGTATCTTAAAGAGGCCTCCTTGAGGAGTGAGACGTCAATTTTTTATTGAAATAAAAACGTTCACTCCACACATGGCCTTTTAATTTTTTCATCAATTAAAGATACATACATGGAGTGAGAGAAGAAAGAAAAAAGAATGACACTGATTTTTACGAATTCTCACGTATTGTTACTAAAAATGATTTATATTTGTAATTTAATTATGGAATCAACCATATTTTTTAAGTCAGATTTTAAAATAAATTAAGAATAACTGAAATAACCAACTATATATATTACAGCCATTTCTGAAAACTATGCCGAATAGACTCTGCATTGCTGTGTTGCTCTGCATGTATATATTATGCTATCGAAAACCACCTCAGATTCAATGGGATCCATCACTTACACAGCAATGGAAACCTTATTTTACATGGCTTCCGAACCATCAGACCACGATTTGAAATAAACACATGAGCAATTTGTTTTTCAAATGTGCGAGCCAAGTGTTTAAATATTAGGTCTCGAACTTGGAAGCCTGTGTTATGAAGCTCCCGACCCTTAAGAACCACAACCTCAAACCTCCGTACTACCGTGGCCGTAATAACTATATTAAAAAGACTTATTAATAGCATAAAGTAGATCAATAATTAATTTGTTCCCTTTATTATAAAGAATAATAATTAATCGACCGAGATTCTTTTGAAACGTTTGACAACTACCTTGAAATATTTGACAGGTATGATTGAAATTAGGTCCTACCTATGTTTTGCAGAACATTTCCTCGCCCACAGCAGTGCCAGAATCTCTGGCAGTACATCGCATGTTCACGTTCTTGAAGACGAAATTATTTGATTACGCAGTCTCTCATTATTCGATAATGTCTGAACCCTCGAGATTCATATAAATACCGAATTTAATTATTAATATTTGTATAGTATGGGTACATGTTAGAGTTTTATTTCAATACTTATCCAGTATAAATTAGTCTGTACAACGCAACTGTTTAAACTCTAAAATTCTCCCCGTTGCGAAAGTCTACGTAAAATTTACGTAGAATTAGTTATGTGCAACCAATTCCACGTTAAAATTATCCATGGACTTTGGAGACGGGGATACGTGTACTTTAACATGCCAATACAAACTATGATATACAACAATGTTTTAATAAAATAACAGTGACTATTAAATTCTTAATGAAAACTCAACAAATGATGCATTTACGTACAATTTTTGACATGCAAAATAAAATAAAATTATTGTCAATGATAGGGTTATACAACACTTGGTTGTTACTTCTAAATTGAGTATTAAAAACAAATTATGATAACTATATTACAAGTAACGATTCGATTTAATAATATACTATACAGTATAAAAACCACTTTACAGAATACAATGAACATCTTTCAACTTTCATCAAAAACAAAAATTGCTCGATGTGTGTCCATGAACATTAGAACACTGTTTGACAAATACTATACGGACATTACAGCTTCTAGTGAATAAAACATAAAAGTTAGACATTATATCACACAAACACTCATACCTAACAGATACATCGTTTTCCAAGACGTTCACAAAATCACAAACAAAAACACAAAATTTATATGTCATTCACCTCATCGACTACATTACAGCAACACAACCTCGACTTGATAATATCTCGGATTGTTGTTGGCCAACTCGACATTTCAGATATAATTTATACAGAGACACCACACGAATGGTGTATAGGTTCAAAAGCATTATATATATTATATGTATATATATATATGTCTCATTCAAATGAACTCAGTGACAAAGATCTTTTTGAAGTCAGGGGCCGAGCCACCGATGTCGTGCCTGCAGATTTCCCCGTTATCGAGGTAGCTTACGTCCGAGCTTCTGAGTATGCTCTTGAGACTCTCGATTGAGAGCGCCGGCGGCTGTTTACTCGAGCCGTTCGTTCCACCGGCACTGCACTTGTGATCGTTGGCTACATTGAACTTGTCCAGGTCGTTGAGAGAGTAACCCGCACTCATTTTCTTCTTCAGCCGATATGATTGGATTACCGGTTTCGAATTAATTACCTTTATCCCATCGTTATTGGTTTTGTTATTATTGTTGTTGTTGTTATTAATATTGTTGTTGTGATGGATGATATTAATTTTGCTGATACTGGTGCTTTTGTTGCTCGAATCGAGGGGACTGGAGATCTCGATTATTCGGGGTGTAAAACAGCGCATGCTTCCTTTACTTTCGAGTGGCCGGGGTAGCTGACTCTGGTACTCCTGAGAAAATAAAATATTATAACGAAGATTATATTGAATAATTTTGGTTTTTTAATAACTTATTTAAGGTTCGTAACACACTACATTTGTGATTTTTCACATTCGGTGTAATAAATTGCAACGATCTACTCATCGTATTAGACCATCAATAAGACTGAACTCATTGAATCATTGTACAATGCACTGGAAAACAGCGTATACATTTTTAGCCAATTAAATTCTGAATTTGATTTTAAAATAGACCAATTACGCACAAGTTTTCCACTGAAAGTCAAAAAATAGCTTTGATTCGATCCCATATGCCACTAGATCCTCAAGCTCAAAAATTTTATGATAAAACCCTTACTGCAATCCGAGAATTCTACAAGACAAGCTTTCTATTTCCAATTTCTAAGAGTATACTGGAACGATAAGAGTGAGTTCTGACACAGTCAAGTTCATCTTTTATTGGTATCTTAATTATGACACAAGATATATTCAGACTCATTTAAGCTGCCAATATGTGATGAGCTTAACTTTCGGAACCCAGCCTGTGTTACTAAACTACAGATTTGAAACCAGCGGTGTGGTCATGGACAAAATGTCTAAAGTCAAAATTGTCTCACAACGGGGCAAAATTTCCAAAGACAAAATTTCTAGACAATTTCCAAAAATTTTGCCTTGACATGGAATAAAGTTTTCGGAGACGAAATTTCTAACTTAGATTTATTAAGAACAGTGTCTGTATAAAATATTCTAAGGCCAAGTTTTCTAAAATAAACATTTAAGCTCATATTCTGTAACATTTTTACAGGTAAGACTCTTTTGTAGGCTTAACTATATAAGTCTGTATAATACCTAAAATTATTAACACCTTCCAAATCGGAATACTTTTTTTCGTGTGTTTAGGTAGTAGCTTCGCTGAAGATATAAATATTAAAGTTTTAAGGGGGTAACTAAAAAAGACTCAAACAATGAAAATTGAAATCAATGAAAATTCAAATATGTGTCCGTCGTAAACCCATAAAATCTCAATATATTTAACAGCTCTTAACTACTTTCCAAATAAAAATTTGTACTTTATTTTTATGTAATTAATCAGCTTATTTTTCATGTAATTAATTAGCGTTTTATCCAAGTAACAATGTAATAAAACACTCTTAACTATTTGTACAGTAATTAGCGACGCCTAAACTTTATTTCTTCCCCGATAGTCGAAGAGAAAAGAAATGCCTCTTTTAAGCCACACATGCTATTGTGCAACATCACAAGTATTGTGGTATTGTGTACAAAATTATACGCTTGTAGCAGAACAAAGTATTTGTACGTAAAATATCATGGAGTCGAAGTAAAATATAGAACCCTTTGTGTCAATCGGTCGAGCGATGTGGGTAAATATAAGCGATAGTTTCTGTACGTCTTTCTAAAGCGTTCGTCGCTTAACAGAAAGTCAAAGATGTATAGGAATTTAAAAAAAAAGAGCTCGATTACAAAAAAACAAAAGGATGAGGTGTTGTTTTCTTTGGATGTGAACGTACACTAACATGTATGCGAATGGAAGTAGAATTAAAATAACGCCACTAAATGTAATGATGTCTGGTAGAAACCCGCGGAGAATTTATCGATTGTCCTACTGAAAATTTGGGTCAAAAATTGTTCCTTAATGTTTAGATAGACTTTTTGATTCTTCTGTGCGTTAACTGTCATTTTTTCAGCATCAAAAATGGAGTTAAATTATTATTTGAACCTCCTATACATAAATATACAAACTAATGTAGATTTTTAGAACGAAGTTCTTTATGTCTCGTGCTTGGGGGGCTGGAATTTTAAAAACGACAGATTTTCATGAAACGGAAGTCGCTTACCGGAAGTCTCTTCCTCCTAATTCATTTTATTTCCCCCCTTACCCCGTCACCTCCACCATCAGTTCCATACACACTTCCCCTCACCCTGGCTCTTCCAACCATTCTAGTCTCCTGCACACCTCGACTCATCACTCCCCGTTTTGCCTCCCCCGCCATCCCCCTTCACACTACACTATCAAAGCACACACACCAAGCAACTTTTTTTTCCCACAATAATTTTTGTTCAACTTAAAATTTTTTTTCTTCTAGAATTCTAAAAAAAAACCAGTTTCCTAAGTGATTTGATCTCCCGATTTCCTGCACGCTGATCATGGCCCTTACCCACTCTGCTGTGAACGTACCCTCCTTGGGAAAGTTGATTANGCCGATGACCCCAGTATTTTCTTATTGTAAATCAATTTGGCATACTTTATTTACATAGTTCCAGAATCGCAGAGGTTTTGATCAAGCGAATAAAAATCGCCCAAACGACCTTAACTATATGATTTCAATAAAATATTTAATTATTATTTGTGAAAAAATATTTGATATTGTGATAAATATTTTAAATTACAAAGATAACAGTAAGACTATGTAAAGTTAAAATAACCCGTCGTCTTCATTTCTTTTGATTTACTGAATATTGTTATCGGTATGATTAATTTTGTTTTTTGGTTCATACTATGCAAGTACAATAATTAATTTTTTCTGTGTTTTATTCTTTTACAATTTTTCCATTCGTGATTAATGTGATAATTTAATTTAAGGACGTTCTTCACACAGTTACCGGGAGAAAAGTTCAGAGAAGTGAGAGGAACGCTAATATGTGCAGTAAAGCTAGCAATTGTTTTTCTCATGTGAATGTCCTTATGTACATGCTTTTACGCACACTTCATCCCCTCTTTCTGAATTAATTTGAAAACCAACTTGTGGGTATATTTGAAAATTCGATAGGTTTATCTGAAAGAAATCTTTTATACCCAAAAAAATTGGGAGATTCCTACAAATCATATAAATGCCATTTAACGATATTTTTTCACAAGGTTACATATTAAATATTGATTCTTTTAAATGTAACATGTATAAAATAATGGCACAGTCAAACGAGCTGCAATTTTTGGGGGTATTTTTAATGCTATTTCAATATACGTTTGCCGTTTGAATCAAATCTGTCAAAAAAACCCATGTGTGATGAACGTGCTGAAGGGACATTCACTGGCATGTATTACTACTCCATTTAAGAAAGCTATACTACAGGATGGTTTTTCTTAATTTTCTGTAGACCATTATTTTTTGGGTGATAAACATATACGAGGAATAAGTGTTGGATCGTATGCGATAGATGTGAGCGTGACTTTACAAATGTAATCAACGTAGACAGTACGAAGTTGCTCTGAAATCACTGGAAAATTTGAAGAAGGCACACAGTCTGTACTGGCCAGCCTATATATTATTTTTATTGTATTGTGCCGTAGTATATTGTTTGTAATCGTTAACTCATTAAATATTAAAATATTTATGGACACCACAACCAACTAACGTACGTATACTCTTTGTAACGATAATTGCACCATTTCCGTACTTAATATCGTTTCTTAGAAGGTAAATTTATATTTATAATAATATTATCTGCCATATAATTTTACAGTAACATAACTTCTTACTTAAGGTATAAAATCAAAATGAGAAAATTAAATGCAAGAAAAA